CCTAGGGGGGGATTTTATAGGGATTTTAAAGGGATTTTATAATTTTTCTAATACAGGTTATTTAATATATATTTTAATTTGGCTTTTAGATATTTATTGTATAGCTCTGTTTTTACTTACCTGTAAGCCGCCCTGAGTCCCTCGGGAGAAGGGCGGGGTATAAATTAAAGTAATAATAATAATAATAATAATAATAATACTATCCAAGAACATTTCACAAGTACTATTACTTGCAAATATTTGCTAACTGAGTGAAGATAGTTTCCTTTTTCCCTGCTAAATTTTATTTTATGATTTCAGTTCATTCATCTAACCCAGTGGTTCTCAACCTTTTTAATGCCGCGACCCCCAACCGTTTGTAAGTCAAGGACTAAACCGGTCGTAAATCGAGGACTAAACCGGTCGTAAGTCGAGGACTACCCAACCGGTCGTAAGTCAAGGACTTTCCCTGCCCGGGAGCGCCGCACATGTGTGGTTCCGCCCCCTGCGCCGGCCGAGGCGTAGCTGGCAAGCGGCAGAGACGGAGCAGGCTGACCACCAGCTGGCCCAGCCCAAGGGAGGTAAGGCACCCGCCGGAAAAGGGGAAAAAAATGGCGGACAGCCTTGCTTGGCAACCCCCGTGAAATGGTCGATCGACCCCAAATGGGGTCGCGACCCATAGGTTGAGAACCGCTGATCTAACCTATCACCATACTTTTAAAGGTGAGGACATGGTGACCCAAACATCACTGAGGGACTGAAGACAGATTTGTGGTGAGATCAGCAGCTGAATGGTATTTTTTGGCTGCTAACCTTCTCTGGATAAAGGAGAGACCATGAGATTACCTACAGACAGCTGCTCCTCATGAGTAAAGTTTAGGAACTAAAGTTTCTATGGTTGGTTTGTGAGTGGAGCAGCTGGGAGTTGAGCAATTTTCAGCTAAGCTCACAGCCTCATTGCAGCTTTATAGATACAAACTCTGCTGAATCTCGTTTCTTAATCACCTTTGAAAATTGCTTTTTAACTGGTTTTCAGCTATAGAGAACCTTCTGATTAACAAGTTTGATAACATACACTGGGTAAGTTCAGTTTAAACCCAGCAAAATAAGTTTGAAAGAGAAGAGTAAAGGCAAACAACTAGGTGGAATAAGCTGCAAAAGGGTGATTATAATGTTGATTTTGGAAAGTGATAAACAGATTGGGGTGCCAGATAGATTTGAAATATGATTTTTGAAATTGGTTCCTTCCGTGGGAAGATGCTGTTGTTTGGAATATATGAAAGAAAACATGATAATATTGCGATTTAAACATTGGACATCATAAAGAACCAGAGATATCTAAAGATTACAATTAAAGGAGAAGAACACTTATATTTGATTTATTAACACATAATGGAGCAAAATACTTTAACACTGGACATATTCAAGATGATTGTGAGCAATGTATCCAGGAGTTAATCTTAAAAATGACTGCTATTATAGATAACATTTTTAAGAGATGTTGTGGAAGAAGAATAAATTTTATTGGATGGGACTGGGACTACTTTAAAAGTTGATCTGAAAATATATCACCTTATCACTGAAAGAGTGGTATGAGAAAAGATGCTACGTTGGATATACAAATGAAACTAGTTGATGTTAAAAGGATGCAAAAGTGCTAAATCAAAACTTGTACAATTTTCTTATATTGAAGTACAAAAAAGAACTATTAAATTGTGAGAAGTGACCAAACAAAAATGAAAAGAAAATAAACTACAAAATATTATTTAAATGGGATTGAAGATCAAGATTGTAAAAAGTAAAGGAAGGTATATAAAGTGGGTTTATTTGATCAAAGTTAAAATAGTTATTTTATTTCTGGTAAACCTTAATGGACTTAATGGCTGACCAGAACTGAATGACAGAGTTATATGGATCTGTTTATAGATACAAACTGAGATATGGAAGATATTTTTTGTTGTATTTTAAGAGAAAGTGATAAGTTGTGAGAATTGTTAACACTTGTAATGAAGAGGAAAATTACTTCTTTATATATTTCTTTTTTTTTTGCTTTATTATTACTTTTTTGTTTTTCTGCATTTTCTATTTTTTATTCTATCTCTTTTTAGTTTGTATTAGATTTTATCTGTTAAACTATAATGCTTACTAAATTATTTTTTTTTAAATCTCATCATTTTGAATTCTGTCTTTCAGAATATTAATCACCCTACCCTCTTTTGTATTGCCTTTAAATCTGAGGAATATTTCTTTCATCTTTTCCTTCAAATCATTAAAAATATTGAGGGATAAAAGGTGAAAGCTGGAAATGTGTAGCTCCAAGCCAATACACCTATCAAGTTTAATGAGCATAAATATGAACACATCAGCTATGATTTTTGCATTATCTACATACTTGTCATGCACTCAGTCTATATTTATTTAACTGCTTAACAGTCAGGATCTCTTTACTAATATGTAAATTGGTCAAATATTTGCTGAAATCAGGTTATATTGAACCTAACACATGTCCTCAATTTAATAAAGAAATACTTAGACAAAAGATCTGATAACAGTTGCATGGTAAGACTTGATCTATCCAGATTGGTTTCTGGTAATTACTGCATTGTTTTCAAGGTGCTAAGAGATTAATCCTATCTGCTGTAGAATCTTTTCAGGTATCGATATAAGATTGATGGTTCTACTGTATACCTTCCTTCTGCCCCTCTTTGCATGATAGGATCATCCTTTGCTCCTTTGCATGATAGGATCATCTTTTGCATGATAGGATCATCCAGTATGTCACAATTTTCCATATTTCTCAAATATGTAAATTTTGGCCAGATATTAGCTAGTTCCTTCAGGATCCCTGGATACAATTAATCTGACACAGGAGATATAAACTCCTTCAAAGAAAAGAGGAATGTTCCATCTGGCCCAGGCTTCAGCCTTTCCCCTTCATCCTGCTCTTCAACATTTCTTGGAGGAATATAAAATACTGTAGCAGCTAAACAGATCTTCTTTTATCTTTGATACCCACATTTAGGATTTGGTGTGCTGGTCTTTCTTACTCTTCCTTCAGTTGGGAGTCCTTCTTTCTGCATTTCTTAGCATAGTTACCAACCTTAGCTCATCTGAAACTCTAGATTTCAGATAATATCTCTGCCTTTCCAAACTATCTATAACTGCTCTGTCTTGATGTCCTGGCTCTCTTTCCATTGTCTGCATGTGGCCTTTTCCCTCACTGAATTATTTGTAATTAAATTCCTTTAGGAACTACCATTCATCTTGAGTTTGGCTTCTGTTGGCTTCTTCTGCCATGGAATCCTTCTTATCAACTGAGCTTATTAAAACCCACTTTTTCAGGTCCAAAATATATGTTTTAAAAATGCCAGTTTTGTGAAGCAGTTAAGGTCTTGCTTAGAAACCAGGGGACTGTGTGTTCTAGGCCAGTGTGGGGCATGAAATTTGGCTGGGTGATTTTGGGCCAGTCATTCCCTGTCTCAGCCGAACCCACCTCACAGGATTGTTGTCAGGGGGGGCGGAATAGGAGAAAAGAGTGTTAGGTATCTTCACCACCTTCAGTTATACATGAAAAAGACTGAACAATAATAACAACCACAATTCTCAATTTGCACATTGACAAAATTTCCCTGTGTCAATTCAAAAGGACAATATTGCTTGAATCCACACATAGACTATGAGGATACATTACTATATCTAGGTTCTTGGGAAGAATTTGATGCAAATGAAGACCAACACCAGCTACAGAGCTGTGATTCCACATTATAGTATATACTACTACTATTTACACTAGAAAACAACAACATCTTCCTTTCCCAAGTCATTGGGAAGGACTCTGTAGGTCGATAAAAATGCCAAATCCAGTCTAAACATCTGACTGACTGTGCATTGAACGAATAATAACACCCTAGCCTTATATAGCCACTTCCCAACATTCTTGTTGCATCTAATTTCTCACTTCAGGGATAGATGGACATTTGGTGCCTTTCTTCACCTTATAAAGAACAAATTTATTAGCAAGTCAGGAATTTCTTGAACAACCAAGCTTGGCAGAATTTATTCCCAAACTCCTTAAGTACCCCATCTACTTAATGCCACTTTCCATCATTCCCATCTTCTCTTTGGTTATATGGTAACCAAACAGCAGCACAGCTTTTAATTGCTTCTTCACTTCTTTTAACCTAGTTCATTCACCTTGATTTATAGACATGAGTGCATGGTTTTAATTTAGAGTTCAACTCCTTTTCTATTTTTTATGTTCTTTTTGTACAGATGGTGTTGTATAACCTCTGTGTGTCAATCTTAGGATTACATCAGGTTTCCATTGTGTTTTTGCCAATCTGTACCTCAGTTCGTCTTCATTATATGTTTTTGCCTATCTTCACTTCAGCTGGTTTATTTCAGAGCAGTAGTGTATGGACAGTAAAGGCCCTAATGTTATGACCCATCTTTTCTTATTTTTTATTATTAAGTTTAATTGTCCCAGAAAATGCAAATGTAGCCTGATCATAAAAATCAAAGTGGAGTTGCATATAGTGCCTCCTTAACATCTAATATGATAGGAGTGGGTATTCCATATTTAACAAAGTAATTAGACCATAATAGTGCAATTTATAAATACACTAATTTCAAAGCAGCCTACAGAGGCAAATTCCCAATATGCAAAAATCAGAATATAGTGATAGAATCTGAGGACGACCTAAGATTTAAACAGGTAGGATGTCTGCATGGGCTAACATAGTTGACTCTTTAGATCTCCAGATTTATGTTTGATCTGTATCTACAAGAAAAAGTTCTTACTGGGCTCTTGTTCTGAATTTACTACCATAAGAATAGTTTCCACAAAATACTCATTTTATCAGAAACTGTTTTGCTAATTATAGTTAATGAAATTACCATAAACTCTTTTTGCTATTATTCTGTATCCATTACTGCCTTTCATACAGAACAGAGAAAATTTGGGTAAGAGGTTCCCATATTAGCAAGCAATGCTCATTTCACAGGAATGCAATTCTGGATGGATTGCAAACTGAAACCAAAGACATTGTCTGCCAAAATCTGTGCATTTCCCACAGCTCTAATTACACCAATACTCCCTGGATATCAGCACGTACCAGAGACATATAAGCATCTTACTATACTTTTTTTTAACCGTATTTCAATACTTTAGAATAAAGCTGCATTACCTGCATGTACATTTTCTACTGAATAGTTCAAGAATGTTGAACCTGGATTCATCGAAATGTAAGTCAATCAAGATCAGCCTCCGCATGCCAATGCTTTATCTTGGATGACCAAAATCACCCCATATCTGACAATAGTTTTCAGACTGCAATTACAACAAAGATCATGCAGGCTGGGAAATATGGAATTCAACATATCTAGGTTGCAATGTATTTGGGATGGCTGCTTTCAATATCTAGGAGCCTCCATAAAATATAAGTGAGCAAGAGTCTACTGTATTGATCTCATTGTCCAGTGATTTTTATTTATCTACAAAAGTTGTGAAATTATTGTACAAAATATTGTTGCTAAGTAAAGTTGTCTTCTTACATTGCCATATGCACTGCACTTTCACCTATAATCACATCAGCATTTCCTAAAATGAACAACAAAAAGGCATGCTACCTCAGTCTTAAAAGTTCTCTTTTTTTTTCAATTTATCTCTGCTTCTGAACAGTACCAATCCCAAGGAAAATAGTACAGGTAGGTGAATGAAAACATCTGTAACTGCTACTTACTATAATGATCTCCATGGGAATTGGGACTCGAATCTTCTTCATATATTTCATATTTAGCTCTTTCACAATGATGAGAAGCACAGAGCTGATCAAAGCAAACACCAGAGAAGCCACATTGGTTTTCAACAGATTTTTGCAAATATCAATAAAGGTCTAGAGGATTAGACAAGAAAAAGAGAACATGAGGTTTTTCAACATGTCAACTAGGATGGAAAGTATAGTGTTTGTTAGTCAACATGTAAAGATTGGGGACCATTATTTAACCTAGACATCTGCATTTTGCAGTGGTAGCCAACACTCAAAGCAACAGAAAAAAGTGCAGTTCTGACAGTAGCCAACTCTGAGTTAATTAAAAGGTCAGTAAACAGGGCCTGAACAGACAGGATGTATTTAATCTAACCTGAACATCCTGCTGAGACTTTAGAAGAAAATTCGAGGCTCACAACAGGCAACTGAGAAACTCCAAAACTCTATGAGGGCTTTTTCCTAATCCTTTATAATTAAAATGAACTAGAATGAATTGTAACTGTCTGTTATTTGTAAGCTCATTCCTTAATATTGCAAAAACCTTGGCATTTGGGGTCTTAAGGTTCAAGAGTTGCCCAGAAAGAGAACAGGTTCCAGGCAAAATGTTGCTTATTTGTTCTGTTGCGGTAATTTGGGAAAAATTCATATAATAAAATTGAAATTTTGGTATAAGATTTGGCAGACAATGGAATCCTATTTTTTTTCTCTTGGCTTCAGACTTTATTCTTTCTTTTATTTAAAACAACAATAACCACACTTAAAAATAACGTTATCAACAAATATTTAAAATAATGAAAAATAATAACCTAAGAACAGAAAAACAAAAAGTCCAGAAAACAATTTTTGTTCAAGAGCAAAAAGTAAAATAATTGGAAGTTAATGTAAATACACTATAATACCATATTCAATATTTCCCTCAATTTTTTTAAAAAAACAGAAGTACCCTGTTGTTATTGTGTTCTAAACAGTAGACACCAGATACCATTAATACATCCTTTAAATGTTTATTCAAGACTTTGTTGCTATGTTAATTTTTCAGCCAATGCTTTTTTCACCCATTATTAGCTACCATTGGCTCAAAGAAAATGGACTTTCCTTTTCCATTATTTTGGTATGATATACAGTATATGGTAGCTTATAACAAGCAATCAATTAATTCTTTTTAGTAAGGAATAAATATAAACAAATAATTATACTTTCTAGGAAATGGACAATAAAGCTACATTAGTATTAGTTATTACAGACCACTGTGTCCAACTTCTTATGTAGCTTTCAGTCAACACGAGAAATTTAAATAACTGTTGCTACCTTGGAAATGAATATGTATCAATTTAATGACAGCCCCCTTAACTATCCTATTGGTTAAAAGCAATAATATTTTCTTTCATACATATTTGATTCTCATATAGTTTAGTTACTTGGGTTTTGAAGTAAGAAGAAACTATTTCATCACCATTATTAATGATTTCGTATTATACTTTCGTCAATTCCTCTCTTTGTAGAGTGAGTTGCAGCAGTCTCCATAAGCTCTTGCTACTTTCATCAGAATTGTGGCAGCAATGTCACAATATCATGTAGCAAGCTCTGCCCTTTGGGGTATGAGTGCAACATAGGGATACATGTAGAAAAGGGGAGGAGCTTGTGTTGTGATACACACTGCATAATTCTGAAACCATCCTGCCCCCTAGCCTGCTGCTTCTACAGAGGACACTGATAAGTTGGTTCTTCCTGGGTCCATCCAGTGGGCATTTATCTTTGGGGAATAATCCATGACTATAATTCCACATTTTGTATTCCATGTACTTTGGCCTATAGTCATGCTGGCCACATGACCACGGAAGTATCTTCGGACAATGACAGCTCCCTTGTCTAAGAAATGGACATGAGCACCACCCACTAGAACTGGACCCAACTGGACAAGGGAAACCTTTTCCTTTTCCTTTATATGGAAACAGGTGAAACTCCCAATTTTTGTAATTGAGTCAAAATTTCACTTAAATATTTTAAAACTGGTGAAAGTTAGGGAAGATAATTGTGGAGAATCAAAGATAAATATTTATTTTTATCTCAATAAATCTCTATCCTGCTTTGGTTCTACTTTATTTTTCCTCAATAAATCTCTATCCTGCTTTGGTTCTACTTTCTTTCTTTCTTGCCTCAATCATATGTAGCCCCTGACAAATGCCAACTATCTGTGTGCTACTCTTGATCTCAGTGATTGTACACCCAATCTTGTAAGATACAGCAGTAATCATAGTATCAGTCTCACTTACATAGACAATGGCAAAGGGTCCTGTGTAGGCTTCAATCTTCAGACCAAAGATATACTTGAGAACCGAGACGAGGATCTGTAGACCAGCTGCTGTCATGAAACCCCTAATGAAGGACTCTGAAAGGTAGATGGCTACAAAGCCAAATTGCACAAATCCCAGGCATATCTATGGACAGATAGATGGTCAGGCATGTCATATTACAATAATAAATAGAATTTATCAGAAAAAGAGACTGCAGATAATAAAAAAATTGGCATAACCAATTGTGTGGAAAGATATGCTACAGGTAGTCCTTGAATGACTTTTTTGAAGATGTAGAAGACAGGATTTCCTGGGTCACATCAATCTTTAAGTGCTATGAAACATGGGAAAGAGTATCCCCATTAATTTGTGTTCCATGTCTACTGTTCTAATGGTAAAAATCTTTGATGTATTCTCTTCTTCTTCTCCTCCTATTCCTACTACCTATTACCTACTCCTTGGTAAGCTAGGAAAAGTGGAATAGACAACATCACCACCAGATGGATCTGTAGCTGGCTGACAAACTGTACTCAATGAGTAGTCTTCAATGGCACTATATCCACATGGAGAGAAGTAAGCAGTGGGATACCACAAGGTTCCGTCTTAGGCCCAGTTCAATATCTTCATAAATTATTTAGATGAGGGAATTGAAGGGGAACTCATCAAATTTTCAGATGACACCAAACTGACAGGAGTAGCCAACACCCCAGAAGACAAACTCAGGATCCAAAAAAATCTTGACATACTTGAACAATAGGCCCTATCCAACAAAATGAGTTTCAATGTGGAGAAAAGCAAAGTCTTATATTTAGGCAGGAAAAACCAAAGGTACAAATACAGATTGGGCAAGACCTGGCTTAAAACAGTAACTGTCAGAGGGACCTTGGAGTTCTAGTGGACGATCACTTGACCATGAGCCAGCAGTGTGCAGCAGCAACCAAAAAAGCTAATACAATCCTGGATTGTATAAACAGAGGCATAGAATCAAGATCATGCGAAGTATTAGTACCGCTTTATAAAACCCTAGTAAGACCATAACTGGAATACTGCAGCCAATTTTGGTCACCATATCACAAAAAAGATGTTGAGAATTTGGAAAAAATTCAGAGAAGAGCAACTAAGATGATCAAAGGCCTGGAGACTAAAACATACGAAGAACGGCTACAGGACTTGGGTTTGGCTAGTCTAAAGAAAAGAAGAAATAGGGGAGACATGATAGCAGGGTGCCAGTATCTGAGGGGCTACCACAAGGCAGATGGGGCCTGGTTGTTCACCAAAGCACCAGAGGGAAGGACGGGAAACAATGGTTGGAAACTGATCAAAGAGAGAAGCAACCTGGAATTAAGGAGAAAATTCATGACAGTGAGGACAATCAACCAAGTGGAACAGCTTACCCCCAGAATTCATGGGCACTCCATCACTGGAGATTTTTAAGAAAAGACTAGACATTCACCTGTCTGAGACGGTACAGGTTCTTCTGCTTGAGCAGGGGGCTGGACTAGACCTCCAAGGTCCCTTCCAGCTCTATTCTATTCTATTCTATTCTATTCTATTCTATTCTATTCTATTCTATTCTATTCTATTCTATTCTATTCTATTCTTCTCCACCTCCTCCTCCTTCTCTTCCTTCTTCTTCCTCCTACTCTTCCTCCTACTCCTACTCCTCATTATTTTTATCATCTGCTTGTCTGTCTGTGACATATAAATTGATAGATCTCCCATTATGCAACAAGTATTAAAACTATATTTCAGTCAAGATAGGGAAGAATTCAGATTTCAATACTTCCTTAATTCTCATAAGAGGAAGCACATTGCATAGAGTAAATCAAAGTATGCAGTGGAGGAATACAGATAAGGACAATAAAACTAGTGAGGAGGAACATATAGATTTCCAGTTGTTGATAAACTACAACTCCTTGTATTATTTACTATTAGTCATGTTTTTGAGGGCTATTGGGAATTATAATTTAGCATAAATCTGAGATCCATATGCATCCCACTCCGGTTGCAAATCCTATCAGACATTCAGTCACTGGAATTGTAGGTCACATGGACATTTCCTATAGTTTTATATGCAAAGAACTCTTACTTGTATTAAAGCTGTCAGACAAGCCAAGGTGGCAGAGATCTCCAGTCTGGCTGCTTCCATGGCTGTGTTGTTAACCATAATTTCCTTAGCTGTGTGGTTAAAATATTGAAATTCAGAATCCGGAGCCAGTTCATGGCAGACGTTTCCTACGATAATACTGATGACTGCAAATGTACCTGTTTGGAAACACATATGAAACTTATCTTACATTTGTGAGCTGAGTACCTTCTCATATTATAACTAGTCTGTAAATAACTGGCAATCCCAAGTTTGTATAGATCAGTCTTCTTCAAGCTGCTGCCATCAATGTACATTAGAATTAAATCCCTTAATTAACAACCAAATGTCCTTTGAAGTACAATATATCTGGATTGCATATAAGTTAGTAGTTAATTGGTAATTGATTACACTCTAAAGGAAGTTCTTTGACTCAGCTCTGGCTTTAATCATAATTAAGAAACCAATAATTTACAGTTGTTTCATGAAAGCATTTGAGATAGTAAACTGAGAAAAAACACCCAGATAATATAATTTCATTCACTAGGATTACATACATGTAATATATATAAATAAATATTAAACTGGAAAACAAAACCTTACCTGGGACCATCTGAGGAATACCTCCTAGCAAAAAATAGGTAATCAAAGGAAAGAAAGAAGAATAGAGCCCATTGACTGGAGGTAGGTTGGCCAGCAGAGCAAAAGCCATGCCTGAAAACAAACATGAAGAACATATCAAATCTTCCATCCTACAATTACACTCAAGATCACATAATGCAAAAATATGACATTCTCAGCATGAAAAAATCTGCTTTCCAGGGCTCGTCTTGTGATGAATATTTTATGGAAGGAGCTATAGATCTATTCAGAAATGAATTATAACATGATACATATGTGGCACTATTAGTCTTTCAGGATAATTTGTCTGCTTGGTGTTTGTCTACTTGGTGTTGTTACAGAGTTGCAATGAAAATTAGTGTATAGACTGTATGTGATTGATTGTAAATTTGTATGTTGCCCAACCTTAATTATTGGTGAGGCAAAGTAACAGAACAGTGATAGATGTTGGGGATGAGTTCTACAAAAAGCAGGATAAGGGTGAAATTACAAAAAATTAGAAATGAATATATTTGGCATTACAAAACAATTCATATAGACCCATCCATATTACCTATATGATTCTACCCAGTAATGTTTGAATAATATGGGAAAGGCAAGTTTCTTTCACCTTGAGGTACTTGAATAGTTCCAGCACTTACTCCACCAAGGACATCAGGCACAATGTAATCTCTGATTTTGTATTTTGGAAGCCATACAAGTATGGGAAATAGACTGTAAAGGATGAGTTTGAGTCTAGATGGTGAACATCTGAAAAGACATTAATAGGAGATATTTACTATGAGGTCTGTTCTGTAACATGGGAAGGCAGATGTTTATTTATTATCAGAACATGCAGCTAGAGCAAAGATCTACCATTTCAGGTTTGTTTTCACCACCCACACAGCACTGGCATAAATCATAGAAGGCACAATGGAAAAATTGCCTCTCTCCTATTATTCATAATTGTGCAATAGTGGTGAATATCTGTAGCTAGGGTGTCGGATGGGGGTGAAGGTTCATTCTCCGAGCTTGTGGGCTGGTTTCCAAATGTTTCATTACCAGGCTAGGTAACATCTTCAATGGAGTTTAGGGGATGTCAGTGTCAGTATTCTATTTATAAGGGCTTCAGGTATGGGTGTGTCAATGACAAGACCCTCACTCGATACATCCACACCTGAAGCCCTTATAAACAGAACACTGACACTGACATCCCCTAAACTCCGTTGAAGATATTACCTAGCCTGATAACAAAACATTCTGAAATCAATCCACAAGCTGGGAGAACGAACCTTCAACCTCATTCATAATTATCATCACATTATATATATTGCCCTGAATCCAGGTTTCATCAGATTCCAGAGAATATCATATCTGGGCTAAGTTTTGAATTGTTTTCAATTGTTTTTGCATACTAAAATTTCAAACCAAATCAAAATTTAGCAAAACAGTTATATCTAGGATATTATTGCAAAATTAAAGATCAATTGTTCTAATAAGCTCCTATATTATCAATTCAAGGAAGCATAGTACAACATGTTCAGTAAATTAGCTAAGAGAACAAAATAGTCCTAAGTAGCCTTCTTCAGAATGGAACAGAAAAAATAAATTGGATATAACAGCACTTAACAGCCTAGTTCTGTCAATGATTACTTCAAAAGAAACTCAGTTACTTTAGTACAGCCTTCTACCCAGAATTTGTTGGACTGAGTCAGAACAGTAATAAGTACAGGTCTCCCAAAGCTTGGTTAGAGAGGCTTTTAGAGGCCTTATTTAATCTCACCTTTTAACCTGGAAATGCACAAATTTGAACCTAACAAAGCACATGCTCCATTATGCATAGGATTATAACTTATTCCAGTAATAACTTACTGCTCTACTACACTGATTGCACACAGATAGGATCATTACAAAATCCTTTACTGTAGAGTATTTAAATTTAAGGTGTAAAGAAACAGTGATATTGCAACAGCAATGTTAATGATAGCAGTTGTAACTCTTAATTCAGTGTAAGTGCTGCATTACTATAATGGTTATGGTATAAATTAGAATAAGGGAGTAGTGGTGGAGGAAGTCTATTATTCTCCAGGATTAAACTCCACACTATAAAATAGTAATCTCAATCCAGCTGCTTTAATAAATCAGTGAGGAGTTCAAGATGATTGTTTTCTCCTTCTCTTTAATCTCATCTGTATGCAGGATAGGCTTCTAATTAACTCAGCAGCCCAACATGGCACTTCAGCAGAGCTGATCAGAGTATTACAACTCACAGATAAGATACACACAATATAAGTCTGTTCACACCAATGTGATCCTATAGTTAGAGAACTAAGAGAAGTAAATCAGTTTCTGTACTAAACAAATGCCAAACTTGCATAGAAACCATTATGCACAAATCACTCCAGCAATGAATAAATATTATCAAAAAAAAAAGCTGAACAAAAAACAGTTAATTCTGAAAACATAAGGAGTTAATCACAGCTAAAGAAGTCCTTCAACCTGAACTAGGTTTCCTGGTTAAACATGAAAGCTGTCAGGCTTTTAATTTTCAATAACATTGGTAATAAGTGGCAATAATTAAGCTACTGCTTCTTTTGGTTAAGCATTAATATAACAAACGTAAGAGGTGTGTTGTACATTTGCTACCAAAATGGGTTCTTTTCCACTAAGAATCTAAAGTAGCTCTGATCATGTATCTATGAGATCATTCAGAAAGCAATTATTTATTTGGCATAATTCCATCGCTGTCCACTTAAGAGACCATTCAATCACATTGGGTGCCACCCAAATCTAAAGTCAACATGAGAATTGCTATGTAGTTTAAAGTAATGCATCCAGTTTACTTAAGTAAAGCTAGTTCGGTTATGCCTATATTTAACTGACATCTAGCAAAAGCTTACATCAATGACATCTAGCAAAAGCTTACATCAATGACATGCATAGAAGCATACTATTCAAATAATAATAAAAAATGCTCTTGCTACAGAATACGGTTGTTAATTGCATATTTCTTGCACGTGAATTATACTATTATTGATATTCTGTACTTTTATTCTGCATTAAATTGGGTATGTTTTTTCTTCTCTTTAAAACAAAGTTGAAAACTCAGAGGATAACTAGGCATGCATATGATATCCCCAATATAAAATATTTTATAAAGTATGAATGTAAACACTTATTTGTCTATGCTTGGTTGTAAAATAGAGATCAAGCCAAGTTTCTATTGCCAGGAATTAGGGTTGATGGAAAGGATTTTTTTTTCTTATATGAAAGGCTGGGTTAATGAAGATGGATGGTGAGATAGATGTCACAAAGCAGAAGGCTGCATGGCTAATTTTGGTGATGGACTGATCAAAACTCACCTTTTGCTCTGACCTCTGTTTTTGCCTGAGACTCCTCCTTTCCTTATAGCCTTTTAGACTGTAGGCTTCAGGGCAAAGACAGGAGGTCGTTTATTTTGTTATGTGTACCACACCTCATTTCTTCAGGTGAACTAGAAATAATACCACACTAAGAAACTGTAATGCAGCTTGGAAATTTTCTTATGTATTTTGACCCACATTTTTTGAAAAGAACTAAATGTAAAAATGTCCATGCCCTGAACCACAAAGCATTTTTGGAAAAAAAAATAATTTAAAACTTGCTTTGAAATAATAAAGGGCAAGAGATTTTTTAAAATATTTTTAAAGAGCTTTGTAGTTTGCACAAATGTCTTTTTGTTCATCAATATTGCTTACTTTTTAAAAGTATTCCTGTAATGTATTGGGTGTGCCTGTACATGTCTGTATATGCACAGATACATACATACATATATATATGAAAAAATTCTTAGGAGCTACTAAACAATATTTTGTTCTTTCTTAATAAAAAGCATCATATTTACTCAATAACAAATAAAGGCAAATGGAAGGTATGTTGGCACTGAATTAGTACAGCCAGTTCCCTTATCTGCAACCTTTATGATGTTCTATTGGAAAAGTAATTTTGTATTTTCCTCTTTGCATAGTTTACCTAGTCTAATCTTACTTGGCCTTGGCAATGGGAACATACTCTACTTGTCCTTTACTGAACAATTCTTATCAAAAAAGAAGAAACCTAGGGCTATTTCCCACATCTTTCCAATGCCTCTAAGATTTGGGTACCTGTGATGCTAAGTCTGCATTATTCCTTTGACTGCAAATTCTGAATGAATTGATTGGGGGGAAAAATCTGGGATTAAATTTACTGGAAAAGATTGCTGGATGAAAGTTGATCTCTTTGCTTTTGGATTGTACAAACCAAAATCTGATGCTAAATTTTACAATATCTGTTGAAAAAAATCTAGACGATTAATGCATTTGCCATCAAGGGCTAGGGGATCCAAAAATCTGGAGAGCATGTTTGTTTTATAGGGTTGCCAGGTCTGCTTCCAAAAAATAACGGACAAGCGGGGTGGGGGTGGGGGTTAAGTAGTAAAAAAAGTAGACTTTACAGCTTTAGATTACGTACCATTTCATCATAAAGCTTTTGAATAAAAAAATGTCCACTATTTTGTGAAAAAAAATAGTGAACATAATGTGAAAAAGTGGACTGTCCACTCAAATAGTGGACACCTGGCAACCCTATTGTTTTACAATCTATAATATCCCACTTACCTGAAAAGATTCTTTATTTTCTCTCCAAGGGGATAACTTCTACTTTTCCTGTCAAATTCTTCATCAAAGTAGTTGCTAGAATAAGCTGGACGGTTGATGATGTAGCGTGGCCGAGTTTCAATCATTTTTGCTTCATGAAATCTTTCACCCCCCAAAGTGAAATGGAAGTCAACTGGAGAAGGAAGTGAGCATCACCAAAAGAAGATCTGTTAGTAAAATGAGTAGCTTTCTTCTCTTACCCTTATCTCCATTAACTTGGGTTTTAGATTTTCTTTTCCAAGCCCCACCCCTTGTCCTTGCCCTTTCTGCAGAAGCCAGGGATTGGGCCTCTCTTGAGAAATCACTGCCTTAAGGAAGGCCTCCTGGAATTTGAATGGTGTGGGAGGAAGAGCAGGTGCAAAAAACACACACATGGTCAAATGCTGAGCATCACAGTGATGATACTGCTGTGATGACACTGATGTTCTATTGTTAGTCTTGGGCCAGTCTCTCAGTTTCCTCTACCATGGTTTTATCATGAAGAAAATGGGATGAGTGTTTGCTATACTCTTGTTTCACACATAAACTAGAAACTGCCAAAGTTTCTAAAGCAGTGCCTTCATGATTCTGGTTATATTCAGAGCAGCCATTCCAAGAACTTTAGTATGTGAGCTTCCATTCAGTAAATATGCTTTGGAATGAAGGACAACATAGAAATGCAACAATTTGACCTATTTAAATGATAATAATGCCAATCAATCCAGCTCAACCAGTCCTGTGTCAGTATCAAGGTGTTACCAGTGGCACATAATAAATAAACTCCTTGAGGTATAGGCCTTAATATAAACAAAAGGATCAAAGGAGGGGGAAAGAACACTTTTGCATAATGATAAGCTGGAGTTGGAAGAGAAAATGTTCAAAAATAGAACAAGGATATAGGTGATTATTTTAGTATTATGCTTAGGTATTTAGGTGTCTTGTAAATGGGCAAACAATTAAGAAAAGAATTATAAAGTAACTGGAGAAACAGTTCACATAGTTAAATTCAGAGAGCACTTCTGCATTGTAAGTAGTCCTCAACTTAGCCACCATTTGAAGTTCTGATGGACCTACCTAGAAGATACCTACCACCCAGATTTGGTCTGATGGTTGCCCCACACATGGTCACATGACTACACTTTGGGTGCTTGACAACTGGGCCACAGTTATTAGACATTGGGTTGGCAATGGAATCAGTCAGTCCATGTTAGGTCTACCACACAACTTTTTTTTGTCCTTCCCATCCAAGCAGGGAAGGCAATAATCAGTGTCTGCCTGTCTTTTCCTTTTAGGGATTGTTTCATCTTTACCAATTCATAGGTTTTACTCCATGGTTTATTTAACCTGAGTAGACACCAAATTGGTGCCCACAAAAGGCAAATGTATGGATTGAAAGGAGAAATACACTTTTAAACAGGCTGGGAAAACATGAGACAAGGAAAGTGCACTGTCGGATCATCCCACAAAATAATTAAAAATGGCAGCTGCTGAGCAGTGGATAACATAGGAACCTGGCACCCAATTGAAATGATTGCACAGAGTAGTGACCAGAAGTTGGGTGGGAGGGATATGCTGGTTTCTGTAGCCAATCAGAGCTTTCATTAGATGAGAAGGCAGTGTGCAAGGACTTCACTTGAAAAGGTCTAACATTGCTTAGATGGAAGATGGCAATTTTGAAGCAGAAAACAAGTTTCGAATTTGCAACAGGCTGGGAGTAGATGGAGAGTGACGTCATACATTCTTTAAGCAGTAGAAGGTGGCTTTTAATGGCAATAAAGTTAGATAAACTCTTATTTTAAAGATGATTATTTCTTTATTGCTAGGATATCAAGCTAAAATTCCTTGGTTCTGATAATTCAGTACAGGTAGACTTGCTTAACAAATGCCCTGTATAGCAACCATTCATCAATACATAACAAAATAAAAAAAAAAACCCTGTGAAATAGAATTGATCACAAAATGTCTGAAAAAGGTTGGGGGAAAAATAAAAATATTAACTAATGTCAATTTGATGTATAATTTTCAAATATCAAATCTTGATAGAAAAAAAATTGGGGATATCTGCTTTGCAAAACTGGACACTTGGATTTGATTCTGTCCAGTGACTAACTGGCAATACATAATCTGAACATGGAAGGTTGTTGGAACTGAGAGTAGAGATCGCCTTGATCATTTTTGGAATGGGGAATTTGGGCTGCTTTCTGTTTTGTCAAACTGAAATCCTAAACATATTTAAACCCTTAATGAAAAGTAGACTCCATAGAACACAGGGGAACCTACTTATCTGAAGAAGCATTATTCAGTGCTGCATGACTCTCTTCAGCTGAGAACACTTATTTGTCTTTGCAAAACTTTGGGAGCACTCAAATGAAAGAATTCACCTTGTGACCCCTTTCAAAATTATTATTTTTTACTAGCTGCCAAGTATATTGAAGTTTCCAATATCTATTAGGCGTTCATAACAAATGGCCTCCTGCATCCCACCCTGAGACTGCCTAGGGGAATGAGAGGATAAGAAAGGGGCAGAAAAGATTGCCAGGGGACAGACAAGTTTCTGCTAGAAGTTTCTGAAATGACCAACTAATCATGCTGTCACTAAAGGAATTTAGCTCTTTGTCACTCATTTTGGAATTCACACTGAGTGATTTCTCATGAGATGGTAGCAAAGAGATGCCCATGGATTGGGTCCATCTCTTAGAGAATGATGCAAGAGATTCATGAAAATATCTAGAAGAAGTTGCATTTATTTATTTATTTATTTATTTATTTATTTATTTATTTTTGTCATATTTATGTAACGTATTTTGGAGGTGGTGACCCTTTGAGAACTGTATGCAACAAAATTTCATGTTAATGTATGCCAATTAGTGTACATTCAGAGTGAAAAATAAAGTTATTACTCTATTCTATTATTCTATTCTATTTGTAGTGTAAGATAATGGACTGCAGAAGAGCACGCTGGTAAATCAAATGTGAGCAATAATCCTGTGTTTGAAAGACAATTCAAGCTGCTGGTTTTTAATTATAAACTAGGATTTCTTTGAGTTTGCCAGATCTGCTTCAGTTCCTGGATGTTGAATATGATTTGGTAAAATTCTTCTGGAAGAATTATTCCCCTTGTATCATTTTCTTTTTATAAAACAATATTTTGAGATGGTTCTTTCTTTCCTATTCTTTATCTGATCACATTGTCAAGTTCAGCCACAACAATACATTCAGATCACTTTTTCATCTCTCCCCTCTGCCCCCCCCCCCCAGCCAACTCTTCAGAATTTCTCTAGAGGAACTAGGCTGATAGGTAGGCTGAAGCCTGATATATCAAAACTGTTTCCAGCATGAAACTAGCCAAATTCTTCTTCAGATTTGGAGAAAGGTGCAAGAACAAGCTGAGAGAAGGATAACATTCTTCTCACCATTTCTTGGTATCACTTATCCCAAGCTACAGTTCTTTGCCTTATGCATCATTTGTTTCTCACCGTAGGCTTGTGCAGAGTGGATTTGATTATGAAAGATCATTTGAAGGTAATGGGAGTGTAAATTTAACACCTGTCTTCAGTTCTTTAAAACCAGCCAATCTTGCCCTAGGACAGTGATAGCAAACCTTTTAGAGGCCGAGTGCCCAAACTGAAACCCAAAATCCACTTATGTATCGTCGGGTGCCTGGTGGGCGTGGCCCATTGGCCAGGTGTGGCCAATTGGCTGCGCGTGGCTGTGGTGGTAACGGCAGACTGGGTGGGACTAAAAAGTTCAATCAATCAATTCCAACTTTGCGACATCTTTTTTTTTTCCTGGGAGAAGTTGAAATTGATTGATTGAAACTTTTTTTCCCCCAACACGACGGTGGAGGACTAAAGCGAAAAGGTTTTTATAAAATCCAGCTGAAGGCCTAGGACTGGGGCGACGGTGCACGTGCCCACAGAGAGGGCTCACTACCATGGCCCTAGGATCAAATGACTGCCATCCACAGTTGCCATGCAATCCCAGGAAAAGATGTATTTGCTCTAAGCAGTTGCAGTTGGGCACTAAATTTGCTTCCATCACTTCCAGCACCTTTTTTGAACTGAATTGAAGCACTACCCAACCCTAGTATTTTTTTTCTTTGCCTTTTTACTATTACAGTTGCAGCATTCCAAAAGATTCCAGTAATTATAGGCAAATGGAATTTGATTGACACCCACCCCTGTTTATCCTCATATTTGGTTCCTTGGGTTGTTTTCCGTCAGAACCTAAATACTCCCTTTCCATGAACTTGCCAACTATCTGAAAGCCTGAGACTGCTATAAGGGACAATGATAATCTGATCATAAAATGAAGACAAATCTTGTGATCACTGCATCCAATTTTCTTCAGTATTCCTAATATTTCCAAATATTAATTCCCAATCATTCCTTTCCTGCCTGATTTGCTTTGTTTGCAACAATCTGTAGGACAGTGGAGTGCTGAATAAAAGGTTGGCAACAACATTTTACAGAGATTCTAGAATCAGAATAGATTCTGATGGTCAGCTTGAATAAATAAAAATGTATCCCCAATTTTCTCTGGAGCCTATCTTGTTTTTTATTTCAACTTCAGTGTCCTCTATCTCATGGTTCCTAATTCATTCTGAAATCTGTAAAGTTTCAACTTGTGTTTAATCTAGGGAAAGGCCATTGATAAGACCAACTCAAAACCTGACTCTTAGTGATGTTGACATCCTTGGCCTGTTTGTTTTAGGGGGAGTTTTAACCATGGGACTTTGTTATCTTTCTGTTGCTTGCCTTTCATCCATTATTTCTGCTTTGTTCTTTGTTGTCAAGAGTATCTGGTATCACTTTGATTGGAAGGAAAGTCTTTTAATGTTCTACATTTGAACTTGTATTACACAATCGAATGCTCTATTGGGGGAGGTGAAATAAGTATAAATGGTTTTAAAGCGTTATATTGTGCTCATGAAGATAAGGTTCAGCCAAATTTATAAGCTTGATCTAAGCATAAAAATGCCTAAAAATGCTTAGGGATGTATTTTAATGACACTTCTGGGAAGTAAGAAACTGAAGTATTTTGGGAGTGATGGAACTTCTGGAATACATTTTAATACATCTCTTGCTCAAAAATTATATGGAATCTC